TTTTAATTGTAATTTATTCAGTCATTTATAAAGTCTTCAGTGTCACATGATTCTAATTTGCTAATTTGGTATTCAAGAAACATTTCTTATTATCAATCTTAAACGCATATGTATATATATAGCTTGTTAGCATTTTTCCCCCCAGAAATTTTAGGATTTTTATACTAACTTTTGCTTGCTTTTTGGCTATACATTATAAGCTGATCCTGTATAGGGTCAGTCCAGTTCTCTTGTCTACTCCATTTAAGACTACAGTCATTTAGCAGCAGGTCTGACAGCTTTAGATATCGATCCGTTATGAAATGCTGTATCAGGCCTAGTTTATGGCGTGGGCAGCAGAGAACCTGTGTGTGACATTGGCACTATCTGCACTACCATTTCATGGATATCGTAATGCAAAGCCCAGCAAAAGTTATAATTCAGTGTTATAGTAGGGACAGGAGGTTAATTTGCAGTTTGGACACTCTAAAATGTAATAATATAGTGCATCCAGACTATTGCTATGAGATCTCTGCCAAGCGACTGAAGTGGATGAACATTTTGTGACCGACCTTTTAAAGTCACTCACTGGTACGTGTTTGTGATTATGCCTAGATCTTATAGCAACTAAAATGAGAACCATATTTCCACTTGTCTCCACATGTCTTGCTTTCAGAGGGACACCTACACAAGCTGTGGTATAATAAGGTAATTTGCTTTGCCAAGTGCCTCTGCAGTATTGATTGTGTAACTACAGCTCTGGTTGGCCTTTCTGTGTGTTTGCTGGGTTACCATTTTCAAGGTCAATAAAGAGTTCAAAGGTGTTTCGCTTTGATACCGTCCAGAGAAGGGCGGCTGGCAGTTTTAGAGCCCCGAGAGCTGGATTATGACTCATGGCTCCCTGTAAATCCACACTGTCTTTTGTCTGCTGACTGTGTAGGCAGTAAGATGGCCAACTATCCAGCTGCATTTCCACTCAAACAAAATCACCCAAGCTCAATTTATACGGAAAATGAGCAGCCATGTTGAATGTCCCTTGCCAGCATGTTTCTTTTGTCACTTCAGTAACGTAACTCATGGTTATACTTCAGTGTACGTAAGTTTTCGATCCAAATACTTAGCTAGCGACAGGTTCATATTTGGGTCATTCATTAGCTAAATTTAGTTATCTATGTCAGGTAAACAAGAACAAAACAGTAATGTTAAAGCTAAAGCTATTTCAAGATATACGATGATTTGTACATACTTATTGTTTTGAGGTAGTTGGTGTTTTATATAGATTTGGGTTGTCAGTTGGTCCAAAATGTTTGTTTGGTCTGTTACCTGAAAAATCTTCAAAACTAGCAGCCAGTGCTGTATTTGGCAGGGATCGCTATTGTCATCAGAAGTTTGAGCGGTTTTTCTGTCATGTTTATGTGCACACTTGACATTTCTTGCGAGCTGCACTTGAAAACAATGTGAATATGATGGTGCGCTTTGGATGCTAGCCAGTGTTGTGTTTGTGTTTGTGTGTGTGGGTTGATGTCATCATGAGATCTGTGAAGAACTGCTGCTCTTATACAGTAGCTTTACAGAGAAAAATTAAACTGCATCTAAACATTAGAGAAAAATATTTCACAGAGGAAAATAATCTAATGATGTATGTGAGTAAGTGTGAGACTGATGTGGATTCCTCCATCACGCAGTCCTCTGTGTTCCATATCTACTTCACAGACAAAAACTTCTCTATTATTTATAGATCAGAGATCTTTGGGACATCTTGTGCATTTGAATGTTTTCAGGCGTGTTCTGAGACAAAGAAATAACGGTTTCATTCACTCTTTCTTAAAGTCAGAACTTTCATTTTTGGGTGAACTGTCCCTTTAAGCCAAGTAATAAAAGGATATTGCTGTTGGTCAGTAATGACACATAAAAGAGTGTTTGATTACACAATAACTATTGACCAGATCGCACTTACACTCCAGAAGAATACAGCAGCTTTCACTCAGCATGGACATCATTATGCGTTTGAATCAATACCGGGCTATATATTCCAGAGCGGAGTCATTGGCTTTTTAATGTTGATCTTCTTCTCCAGCTCAGCATACTGTAGCAAACTAGCAATGTGGACATATTGGTGGGTATATTTTAGCACTTAGTGTCCTTAGTCCGTACTCCGCAATAATGTATAAATCACTGGAGGTAGGGTGGATCAGCAGTATTGCAGCATGACAGCATTAGTCCATCATTTTAATGAAGAGCAAAGAGCAAACTGTTCCTGCTTTGATTTTCAGCAGTGAGTTGAAACATTAAAATACCCTAAATTTGTACATTCTATTACATTCACATAAAATCAAATCACTTTGTCACCAAATACACAGAGTAATGGTGTGTGAAAAGATAATAGTTGCAACTGCCAATAACTGCTTTCATCTGTGAAATACATTTAAGTGTAACCATGCATGATATATAAAGGAACATTGAAGAGTGTGTGTGTGTGTGTGTGTGTGTGTGCGTGTATGTATAGGCTTTATTTGTTTATGAAATGATGTGAAGTATGTGTGTGTATCAATTAAAAGAAGTCTGTCAGAAGCAGTGTAAATAATGAATGTTAAGTCTAGGTATTCCAGACGGTGCTGTCTAAGGGGGGCTGGCAGATTCAGGTCGAGTTGGACCAAAAGGGGTCTTTTATCTGGGCTCTCACCGCAGGAGACCCCTGTGTCTCCTCTTACATTACTGCAGTCAGAGTGTATCTGATAGGGCTGCATTTTTCACAGTCGCTGCTCAGCTGGAAGAACTTCTATTATGCTGTCAAAGCTTCACATTAAGACTATGCAGATATCAGTCATCAGTAATCTGCTTCTTTTCTGTAATCTCCAAAGATGCAGCCATGTGGGAAGAATCAAAGTTTTGCTCACATTTGTGACAAGGCCTGTGATGTTTAATCCTGTGGCCGGACGTTACATTTCCTTGCCGTAGGCATAATCTCAGATCAGACTGGACAAACTAGAAGCATTTTTTTTCTCGAGGACATTTTAATAAATGCACAAGACTAGTAATCCTGCCGTTTGGGTTGACACGTCTCTGCTCACAGCAGTGGCTCTATGTTGCAGATTTTCTTAATCAGAATTTTTGTCCTATTTTCCATTAAAAATATCTAAACATCCTTAAAACAAGATACATTTACATGAGAACTAAATTATTAGACAATTATAAGACGCGTATCTTTTTTAAGAATAATTTTTGTTGTTGTTGTTGTTGTGCATAGGTCTTATTTGTTAGATCTGCCATGTGGGCATGAGTGGAGGAGGGGTGAGCGAGTATCGTGATTCGTGTGTGACCTACAAAGGAAGGTAACGGGCTCGCTGAGGTGTGAATGCGAGAAGGGTCACTTCAGATATACACTGCATAGGCTTTGATAAGAATGAAATGCTTTTCGAAAAAGATTGAAAGGTGTTTGCGATGGGAGAAAAATGTATATATTGTATATTATAGAGGAAAGATGAAGTATAGAGAGTGAGGGAGGGTCATAGGAGAGGAGAGCAGCTGACTACAACATCAAGTGGAGTAGGTACTCCTGCAATACTGGAGGCTGCAGTTTCACGACCGCAGTCCTAGGACCCTCTTTTTTGTATGTACTAACAACAGTTTATACCATTTTATAGCACTTACTATTCAATTCTGTATTTGTTTTATTAATTTTCAGGAAGTATAGATATACTGTTCAATATAGGGATAAAAAAGTATTTGTAGTTAATGTGATAAAAGACAACCTGACTTCATACGTCCATTAAAATTACCTCAGGAACAGATGGTTAAGTCATTTTTAAAAATGAGTGCTATGTTTTTATGTGTAAAGAATCATTAAAGTGTGATTAGTAAGTGTCCGAATAAATTTAGAGCCACTGTATGACATTAGCAATTTATGGCTATTTATTTCTGGAATTAGTGAATGTTCATGTCATCTTCAAAGTAGTGGAAAGTTTGATTCTATTGGATGAATTACGGCATGAATAAATGGACAGAGTATGATCATCTGTGAGGGATGTGAAGTCATTTTAAAGCACACTGACTGGTGTGTATTGTAGTTCCCCAGAATGCTGTAAAGGCGTAATGACCAGCGATAATTCTGTTTTAATAATACAGTATCTCCCAAGACATAGACAGTATCTCCTAGTTGCAAATATAAATATACTTTTATATTAGACAGAGACAACATTTTGGTAACACTTTATTTTAAGGTGATGCACTTAGTAATAACAGTAAATTCTGCATAATTACAAGTAACTAACCCTAAACCAAACCCTAACCGTAACTCTATAGTAAGTACATGTAGTTAATTAATATTACTCAGTACTTATATAAGTCAGCTTAAAATAAAGCATAACCAAATTTTGATATATGTATGCAAACATATATAAAGACTCAGCATTGATTTAACGATCTCTCATGGTGTGATAATTATTCTGCTCTTTCTGTGCAAATAACAATGAGCCACTGGACAGCATCAGCTGATTCACATTGTCCTTTTGCCATTGAGATGTGACATGAATTTTACTAAGTAAGTTAAAATTTTAGAGCTGCACTTGTTGTAGGAGAGAATGTATGTAAAAAAAAAAGCTATATCAAATGGAGAATATATCTTATTTCTTTACGAGAGCACAATTTCTGTCTCTGCTATACAATCTAAATTATCATCCTTCTCTTTTGTTAGACTCGCCATTCGTTAGTCAACTGAAATGTTTCATACCCATTCACCATGATGACCTTTGTCCTGTCCTAGTGTCGTTTGTGTCTTCTGGGGTTAATGAGCAAAGTTTCCATAACCTTTGACCCATTATCTTTTGTGTTCCTCGGACAGAGGACTTCTAAAGTTCTTAAGTCTTCTTAAGTTCTCATGTCACTTCATTAAGACCTGTGTGTGAAGAGACCACATAGTGAGTCACAGTAATCCAGTCTAGTTTTGAGCAATTTCTGTATGTCGTATTTGCATTTGATTTTTGAGCAATATTGAAAAGGTTTTCTATGACATCTGTTTGCAGCACGGGGAGGGTAGTCTGGGACCCCCGATCATCGTATGCACACGGCCGTACCCAGAGTGCCAGCTGTATTCGGATGAGGAAGGAATGGGTGGACGGGATGCGCAGGAGTCAGACATGGACAGCGGGGCAGGATCTGAATCTTCTGAAGGAGGACGTCATGAGGATAAAGAGGAAGGACTTGGTGGACTCTTTCTACGTAGAAACAAGTAAGCATCATGGATAATTATGTTTTGGATCTTTTTTAGTGTTATTTGAGCTTATGATTCCAGAATTTATTGTTTAGTTAAAATATTATTTAATGTAATAATTCATGTTTAATTCAATTGAAAATAATCACCACATTTGATAAAATGAACAATAAAATAAATAATAATGAAATGGAATGATTCTCTTTCTCTGGTTTAGCTGTGGTCAGATGGTCTCGTCAGCAGCGGCCTCAGTGATCTCAGTGGAGGAGCAGTTTGAGGACTATGGAGAGGGAGAGGATGTGGACTTCACTCCCAGCAGCCCCATCCCCGATGATGACACACGTACTAATGGTTTCTCTGACCTGGGCTCCTCTCTGCCCTCCAGGTTAACTAGCTCACTAGTACACACCGACCTCTCACATAAAATACTGACACGCTGTGTTATATGTGTGAGCTCTGTCATTTGATTGCATGGATGAATATGGGTGAATAGCATGAAACCAGACAAGAAAATGTCCAGGCCAAAACTAAAAGAAAGAAAGAAAGAAAGAAGAAATTATTTATATATTTATATAACACACACACACACACACACACACACATATATATATATATATATATATATATATATATATATATATATATATATATATATATATATATAATTTATTTTAATTTTTTTAAAGCCAATTATTATTTTTATATTATATTAATTATTTTTTAAATTATATATTTGTGACATTATTTTCATGGTACTTAAGCAGATCCTTATCCAAATTATAATTACCAAAATGCCGAAAAATTACATTCTCATTTCTCAAAATTCTGCAAAACAGTTTTAAAAGAAAAAACGTAAAGCATTAAAGTCTCAATACATTATGGTAATGATAAGTTGTGTGTAAAATAATGTACCAATTCAAAATGTGCCAATCATAATGATTAAAAAATAAGCAAAATTTTCATTTTCATTTTTCATTTTTATTTTCATGAGCTTTACTTTCTCAGATGAATGTTGCTGTGAATTTTTGACAGCTATTAATTATCTCATTGTCAAACATAACATTTTATTAAACAGTTTTGCCTTACAGTGGTACTTTAAAATCTTCAGCTCTTAAATCTTCAGCTGTGTAATAATTATCCTTTCATGAACTCAATAACAGCTCATTAGACGTTCTTATAACTATGCAAAATCTGAAATTTCTCATCATATTATATTATTAAATACTGTGAGTAAGAAAAATCTGAATGCTTCTACTGCCAGTATTGATGATCACTTGTTGTTTCCAGTGCTGGCCAGACCCCTCAGAAGATCAGACACCTGTACAACAGTGAGCTTCTGGATGTTTACTGCTCTCAGTGCTGCAAGAAAGTCAACCTGCTCAATGACCTGGAGGCCAGACTCAAAAACCTCAAAGCTAACAGGTAAGAGGAGACCGAGTTTGAAGTTAGCATATTGCTACAAGTCTACAAGGATTTTTCCATTGACTTTTGGATTATTGCAGAAAATAAGCTCTGTGACCAACAAAACTTTATGAAATTAAAAAAAAAAAATGAACACAACTTTTCTGAATGTTGAAGCCTAAATACAAAGTCGAAGTAAAAAGCTAAGCTTGGGCTATAACCCAACGACACCACGCCCGCATGACTTTAACGTCACCACTAAGTTTACAAAAAACGCTTTCAAACTTTATCTAAAATCTACAAGTTTGAGTTAGAATAGTTTGAAAAAGTGTGAGGCTGTAAAAGTATATCTATTTTATGTTGTAGAATTAACCACAGACCTTTTTTCAGACAGTTTAACCAAAAATACCTTCAAAAAACCCAGTGACTTATGGACGATGAAACTTCAAGTTCTAAATGCCAACTCGTTTTCTGGTTCTAGGACTCATTCCTGCAGCACTCTATATAATAAGCATAAAAATACAAACAAATATTGGGTAAAATAAACATGTCAGATTACATGGAACTGTTTTTATTGATGTTTCTTTTGAAGGATTGATTGATTATTGATTGAGTATTTTATTGTTTTTACTGAGCTCGATACAGTGCATATTAATAATGAACTTATATTTATGTTGTAATAATGTTTTTCTTTTCTTTTTCTGGAGCCATTTAATGCTTAAAATCTAGCATGCTGTCCTACCTTAATCAGTGGTTACATGTCCAATCCTGTTTTTAGTGCCCTTAACTGCACTGCACTTCTGAGACAATTCTTTGTCTCAGTTCACTCTAAGTTAAAGCTAGATATATTTTTATGAGTCTCTTTAATCACCCCCTGTCAAAAGCTTTATCGGGAGACGGGTTTCATTAAAGGAGCTGTTACCATAGCAACAATGTTCCAATCAAGGGTTTACTAATCTTTGTGAATGTTATCAGAGACAGTGTGGGAAAACTGAAACCCTCAAGAAAAGCCTGGGGTGTTTAAGTGGGTGTGTGTGGTGGAATTTGATGAAAACTGCTGAAATAATCCTTTTATTGTCATGTGACCACATAACATATTTGGTACTTCAGGAGAACGACACTGCAATCTTTCCTCTGTAACAAGGCTTTAATGCATCATGGGATTATGAGGATTCCACCTCATATGCTACTGACACATAGAGACATTATACTACAGACAGCTGCCTCACTGCATTCTTCCTACATAGACAGCTGCCTTCTAAGACAGCATCCTAACCGGCCCAACCTACACGAGTTACTTCATGAGCACCTAGACGGCACACAAATAGAGTGCAACAGTGCCCGCCCACTTTTTCAGCTGCCTTGGTTCCGGAAATATTTATCCCATTCATTTTTTCCAAAGGGATTTTCAAAAAGTCTTCATTTAGAGTTATAAGCATGGGCGGCGCTAGGGAGGGGCTAGCAGGTGCTTCAGCACCCCCAAGAAAGACCAAAGCACCCCGATAGCACCCCCCAAAATAATGTCTGGAATAAAGTATATTCAAATATATGTTATTTCGAGATATTAAGTCGTTATTTCAAAATAATATCTCGGTATTTCGACATAATAACGGCAAATTTTTGTCCCGCCAAAGCCTTTTTTGATCGGTGAGTGATGTAGAATAGAATGACTGCTGCGCTTGACAGGGCGCATCACGAGCAGAGAGAGAGAGCCCCGGCCGCGCGCACTCTCACGTCTTCAAACACTTCTCGCGCATATTAATCAAAATCAATTGACACGATAGTAAAAGGTCGGAAGACCGCAGTTTCACGTGGAGCATTTGGAGATTTGTTCTCCTGAATTACCGCGGTGTGTGAATTGTGCTAAAAAAAAACACGTTGCCTAGCTTATCGTCTCTAAAAAGCGTTCCGCCCATTCAGCTGACCTAAACCACATTTCAATAAACGAAAAAACCTATCCAGTAATATGTTTTCTGTATTGACGCAAATCTTGCGATGTCCAAACTGCCGAGATAATCACACAAGCGTGCCGTAGACGTCCACTAATGACACATCCCATACGCAAACGAATGACTCATTTTAACCATGACTTTAATAGATAGTGAAAACAACTGACATGTCCAACACTGAGCTCACGAGACCTGTGGTGTATTTAGTATTGTTTGGTTATTAAAGTAGGCCTACACAGCAAGACCTTTGAATCGGTGTATAAAAAATCGGTAACACTTAATTAAATCAGTTAGCCTAACATTTACAATTAATTAACTGCATTTCAGCATTGTTAATGTTAATTGTTTCAATATTTAGAGAGTCAGGCCCACTATATGTGTGTTGTAGCCATTAAATAAGCGCATTTAATTTCATTTTTGTTAAGATATTATAATGTTTTTTTTTTTGTTTTTTTTACATCTATGCTGATTATGAAAATTGAACAGCATGAGTAAGATGCGCGATATATCGGAAGACATGATGGGTCAGACATGATTTTGACCACTAAATTTACATTTACACATTTACATTTAGTCATTTATTTTAGCAGACGCTTTTATCCAAAGCAACTCAACTGAGGACTAAACCAAGCGAGTCATCGTGAAAAGACAAAAACAATGCAAGAAGTGCTCAAAATACCAAGTTCGGACATTGCTCGGAGTAGCATAAGCCAGACAAGCGAGGATTTAAAGGAAAAGGATTGTTATTTTTTTGTTTTATGTTAAGTATAAATTAAGTTTTGTTTTGTAGAAAGCCTTTTTAAAGTGAATTTCGTTTTGTATAAATTGTATCTTAATTTTAATCAATTTTTCATCAACCAATTGAAATAAGAAGCAAATATAGCAGACAATATGATAAAGATAAGGAGGCGCGGGCGCGATTGCATTGCACGTGAACTGGAGCACATCTCATCATAAATTTTGCTCATTTAAATAATAGTGTGTGTGTGTGTGTGTGTGTATATATAGGCTAATTGCGCAGCTCCCCCTGTCAATGATCTAGCACCCCCTCAGCACCTGCGTTAAAAATTATCTGGCGCCGCCCCTGGTTATAAGTCATAAACCAAACCAACCAGGTTAATCACGACTTTTAGGGTTAGTGTGTAAGAGGTTAGAATATACAGTTTGTACAGTATAAAAACCATTACGTCTATGGAGAGTCCCCACAAAGATAGCGAACCAGACGTGTGTGTGTGTGTGTGTGTTATTTTGGTGCGATTTGCTTGTGGAAATGAGTGATTATGAACATGATTATTTACAAATAGCTACAAAAACCTGTTGGATTAATGTGTGCTGATGGCTTCAACAAAAAAAGCATATACTGTTGATTAACAACCTTGTAGCTCAAAGTAGGTTTGTCTTTAATGGTTTATAAGTTATAGTTCAAAATAAATTTCCCTATGAAGAAAATGAATGGGATTTTTACTTCCAGAAGCCAATTGTTGCACTATAGTTTGATATTAGCATGTTGCTAAGCTAAAAGCATGACACTGTAATACGCATAAAAAGATTAACATAAATTAAAATTAGGATTAATATTTACATATGCTCTGTAAAAGTACATTTAGCTATACATGCATCACTTCCTCTACCACAAAGGAATCTTTTTTTCTCCAAGTTTAATGCAGTGCATTCTGGGATTGCCTTCTCATTATTATTATTATTATTATTATAAATGATAATAAAACAGTATTTTAGAAAGCAACATAATCAAGTGTCTACCTTTTGGAACAGCCTATGTTTGAAATGGTGCAAGAGAGACGTTCAGTAAGAGCTGTGCAATTTCCTTTTCTCTGGGTGAATAGGTGTGATGGGGAAGTGGGATCATGTGGCATTCTGAGGCCTTTGGCTATTAATCCCCTGGCATTTTTGTCCAAATCCTCCACTGCATACTCTGCCAAAGTTAAAATGCATTCATGCAAAACATGATCAGCACCAATATGAACTACACCTCTGTAATGATCTGCAAACATTTGGGTTATTTTTATTTTATTTTTTTAAAAGGTTTAAAAAACATTAGGAAACTTCTGCTGTTTTTTTTCCAGATTTTTTTATTTATTTTTTTATTGCTAATTTCTGTTTTTTTCTATTTTTTTGTATCAAATATGTCAAGCCAACCGGTCAGGACAGGTCATGAAGAACTATGTGCAAATGCACTTTTGAGGGCATGTGTGTGAGTGCTGAGTGTATTTTGTTAGTTCGCAGATTGTCTGGGTCTATCATTGTTGTGGTAGTTATACGTGTTTTGTCAGTGCTGTGATGTCTGGGTTTGAGGACACGAGAGAGCTGACTTGTATTTCCGAGTTCAGACCTGTGTGATGTAACGAGAGAAGGGGTTTAAAGAATGACGTGGGTCACACAGTTACATAAACACAGGCAGAGGTTTATAATTAGAGTGCAGGTGCTCTATTTTTACTGAGGTCCTTCAGAGCCGTCTGATTATCAGTGTAATCTCATTACCTAGGACAAACTGACTTCAGTACCTGATCTTGGCCACTTGGGGCGATAGTGAATCAGTAATTAGGCTCTAAACAAAACTGATAACATGAATCGAATAAATGAAACATTGCAGTGGACTGCAAGATTGATGGGAAGCACTGAGAATCAAACCATCCATCCACCCATCATCCATCTATCTATCTATCTATCCATCTATCCGTCTTTCTGTTTGTCTGTCTATATCTGTCTATCATAAATGTTTTTTTCTGATTTCATCTTTCAGCATCTATACCCATTCAATTGGATTTTCTGCATGGTATTATATCATTTACAGTTTGTATATGATGAAAAATGGAGTGAATGTGTAGATTTTAGGAAGCTGTTTAATGTGTCAGGAGAATATAAAATGTAAAAGAGTTGTAAAAGGTTGTAGCAGTGCAAAACTCCGTTCTCTAATCCAGGGATCTTTTGATTTTACAGCCCAAACAGGAAAATTACCAGTACAGCATTTGGTCGGTAAGTCTCCGATCTCTGTTATGTTCACAAGATCTGTAGAATATAACATTACAAAGTGCTGCATACCCATTGCCTGATAACTGGTTAGAGAGAAGATGTCCTGATTCTCTGTTTCTCTGTGTGTTTCACAGTCAGCTCTTCCACCACAGTAACTTCAGCAGCAGTCAGGGCAGCACAGAGGATCTCTTCAGAGACAGCATCGACTCCTGTGATATTGACATCACTGAAAAGGTCTTGGAGGCATAATGAAGGGGTCATTGAAGACCACATTTATTGTTGAATTGCTTAATGCATAATAAACTGATAAAAATCAAATAGTGTTTCAGAAATACTTGTGAAGGCCATTATAATAATGCTGTTTACTTGCGAATGTGATTCAGAAAGGATTGTCTATAACAAACTCAGTAACACTTTAATTTAAGGTGACATAGTTACACATTACTACATAGTAAATTATGCATAGTTACAAGTAACTAAACCAAACCCGAACCTATAGTAAGTACATGTAGTTAATTAATATTACTCAGTACTTATATAGATTATAATAAAGTGTAACCACAAACGTCTTTATTCCTATTACAGGTGAGTTATTTGGAAAAGAAGATAACAGAGCTTGAGAACGACAGCCTGGCTAACGGAGATCTGAAATCCAAACTTAAACAGGAAAACACACAACTAGTTCACAGGTAAAGATGACAGAGAGATCTGACTATTAGATACAGATTTGATATGTTATAAAGAGCATACAGATTTTTGAATTGTGGGGTCATTAAGACCATTTTTAAAGATATTAATACTTTTATTCAGCAAGGATGAAGATTTCTATTTCTAATAAATTATTTTGAAATTTCTATATTAATCAAAGAATATTAAATATTAAGCAGCACAACTGTTTTCAACATTGATAATAATAAGAAATGTTTCTTGAGCAGCAAATCATCATATTAGACTGATTCCTGTATGATCACGTGACACTGAAGACTGGATAATAATGCTGAAAATTCAGCTTTGAAATCACAAGTATAAATTACATGTGAAAATATTGTCAAATAGAAAACAGTTTAAATTGTAATAATATTTCACAATATTACTGTTTTTACTGTATTTTTGACCAAATAAATGCAGCATTGGTGAGCATTGGAGACTTGTAGTTATGCAGTATATGTTTTCTAATGTCTGTATGTGTTTTTTTGTTGTTTTTTACATGTTTACCCATCAGGGTACATGAGCTGGAGGAGCAGATCAAAGATCAGGAGACGCGTGCAGAGCAATGTCTAGAGGAGGAGCTGAAGAGACACAGAGAGGCCTACAGTAAGATGGAGAGAGACAAGAGCACTGAGATTGAACTGCTTAGTAACAGGTACCTGAAGTCTCCGATAAGAAACCTCACAAAAACACATATATGAAGCATGTGGGGGTTTCAAGACCTTATAACTCAGAAACACTATTCAGCAGGGGAGTGTATGGCATACTACTTTATAATGGATGATTCCTCCCTATAGGGTCCAGCAGCTAGAAGAGGAAAACGCAGAGATGAAAGTGAATGTGTGCAGACTCAAGTCTCAGACTGAAAAACTAGACCAGGTCAGAGATGCATCAAAACTCAAGCTAAAACTCCCTTGACCATCACAACCACATGACCCACACGATACATCAGCTCATCAAGTTACGTGTCACATGATTAATTTAACAATTAAAAGACAGCACTTTCTTGCTCTCCAACACACACGTTCACATTCACACACCCATTTTCACACTGTCACTTGTGACCTCACTGAAGCATCTTTTGACACATTTCAGCAGGCAGTGAAATCCCTGGAGCTTGTCAGTGTTAACCGCACACTCTTTCGTGCTGCTTGCATTAGCCAGTGTTATGAGTGTGAAAGCTGCTGCCTGCATGACATTAGCAGCCCTGTATTTAGACTCAGAGACTGTGAGGCTTTGATCTCTGAGATGGAATGAAACATTGTGGAGAAACTGCACGACTTGATGCTGTAGCCTTTCCATAAGGCTTTAAAACTAGGTCACTGTCTGATATAGCTAAAATATTAAAGGTCCTCTTGTGGACTAGACTGAAAAATGCAGTTTTTAGCTGAAGAAGCTACATTTATGATATAATTGGTGTCAGATTTTATTGCTGGTTTGAAATACATTAAAATGTGATCTTGACAGTCCCCATGTACTTGAATGCCTATTGCCTACCTAAAAAACAGCTGCATGGGACCCAAAATGGCCGCCAAGTTCACTTAAAAATTAAACTTCTGTCATAATTTACTCACCCTCAAGTTGTTTCAAACCTGTATGAATTTCTTTCTTCTGCTGAACACAAAAGAAGATATTTTGAAGAATGTCAGTAACCAGACAGTTGATGTACCCCATTGACTTCCATAGTAGGAAAAAAAATATACTATTGAAGTCAATGGGGTACATCAACTGTTTGGAATGTTCTTTATCAAGTTAACTATTACTTTAAAGGGATTTTTTTACTCACTATGTCAAGTAAAATTTATTTGTATAGCTTTTTTCACAATGCAAGATTGTTTCACACAGTCATACTGTTATGTCTAAAATGCCTTAATACTTTTAACATAGAACAGACTTAGGGGCTGGGTGACACGGCAATATACGGTATAACGATAGCATAAATGATCCTCTGGATTTAGATGTAGCTATTTTGCATTTATTATTTTGTTTAGATATATCAGTGTCACAGTGATTAGACAGAATTACTATATCCAAATGACTAATTTCATGGTAAAATGTTGTATATATTTGTACTGTATGTATATTTGTGCACAGGAGAAGCAGCGTATGACAGATAAACTGGAAGACACAAGCCTGCGTTTGAAGGATGAGATGGATCTGTACAGGAAAATGATGGATAAGCTTTGGCAGAACAGACACGAGTTTCAGAAGGAGCGAGAGGCCATGCAAGAGGTAGCGCATGTCTTTTTGCAGATGACAACTGTACACATACATAAACCTAAATATACAGACCTCTCACACAATCCACGTGTGCATGTAGCTGATTGAGGACCTGCGGCGCGAACTGGAGCACCTGCAACTCTTTAAACTGGAGACTGAGAAGCCCGGCCGTGGCCGTAGCGCTGCTGGGCTGTCGGAGTACAATGCCAAGACTCGAGAGATTGAACTGGAGCACGAAGCAAAGCGGCTTAAGCAGGTACAGTGGAAAGATATGGCCGTGCTTATTGTGCTGTCTGTGATATGTTATCTTACAATATCATTGCTGATCAAACAGGTGCATGATTGTTTTTATGATACACAGTAAACTATACATCAACTGTCAAGCTCCAAAAAACACATAGAAGAATCACAAAAGTGGCTTATGCAATATAAAGAAATTGAAGTCATTATTCATTGAAAATTGTCAGATTTTAATGAGAATTGTTATAATTACTATAACATCAGAGGTTCTCAACCATTTTGACTCCAAGACCTGCTACTGTCCGAGACAATATCCAAGACAATATATTTTTTTTATTTAAAGAAAATAAAAGTGGCAATAGTAAGTAAATTCCCTAATTTCAGTTGATTAAGAACTGAATTGTATTTCAGGGGTTCACACTTTATATATGTCCTGTGAATTTACATGTTTCCAGTCATTTGTGATTAAGGGCAAATATTTGTTTAATTAGTTTTATTCACATTTATAGCAATTTCAGCACATCAAAATATGTTATAGACTGAAATAACAACAACAAAAAATCGTATTCATTATAGAAATTTACATGACTTTTCCAGGTATAAATATGATTAAAAAATCATATTTTTAAAATTCCCTCATATACAGTAAGCAGGTTTCCCAAGGCCGTGGGAATCGTGGTTCTTATATAATAGTGGCAGTTGTTGAAAATAAGAACTGATTTGAGCTGTTTTAGCTTATTTTGAAATTTGGAAGTGTGCTGAGGTACCCTAGTGAGAAACACTGCTGTATATTATAATAGGCATCATGTATGCATATGTACCTCTTGGAATTTAGTATGAATTGCACACTGATGTATTTCAACTTCTAACAGGAGAACCATAAACTCCGAGACCAGAACGATGATCTCAACGGACAGATTCTCAGCCTCAGCCTATATGAGGCCAAAAACCTGTTTGCTTGCCACACCAAGGCCCAGTCACTGGCAGCGGAGATAGACAACGCCTCCAGAGATGAGGTGAGAAGCACAGAATACAGAACCTCACAAACTAGAAATGACTGTTCCCATTAAGCGATAGGATATTAGTCCCATCCCCCAAAATGTTTCCTTTATGCAATTATGTGTTAGTAGAGTTATTTTAAATTCAATTAAATTATAAGTTATTATAAGTGATTAAGTAATCACTAAGTAATCAATAAAAACTTGTACTCTTTTTAAAAGGATGCTACAGTATACAATTTTTTCACAAGGGACCTGCACCCAGATCTATTGAGCTGTGTTCACTATCGCCTCCTATACCCCCATTCACTGTTCCCTACGTTACTCCACTAATATACTCCCCTTGAAGGAGTGAATGAAAACAACTGAGTGAATTCGCAGACTGAGTGCTCCGGAAGGGCTGCCGCTTTTGCATAATTTGTGCTTGCCATTTAATAATTATTTGAAGCTTAGCAAACTGACAGCTCCAGTAGTAATGAAAATATTTTTCTTTAACTTTGTCATGGAAACTAGCATGTATAAACTTAATTTTAAATAAAATTAATTTACAATTTAATAATCAATTAAAAAGGAATTTATACCTGTATGAGATTACGCTGTAGCCACATCGGACCAGCAGTTTTGGGCGACATCTTCTGATCAGATGTGGGAATTCATTCGGCTCATTCGACTCTAACAGGGCATTATGGGTATTCTCTAGCCGTTGAGTGTACATCAGTTGTACACTCGTTGTTGCGGTGCATTATGGGATTAAATGAGTGCACTCGATTACATCCACTATGGTTTTGGACACCACTACAAATGGCTGTCCACTCAAATAGTGCCCTATTTAAGGGTATAGGGGGCGATTTCGGACACAGCCCTGGTTTATTTGTGCTTCATGTTTTAAAAGCTCAAAGGCTTTTGTGAAAACTACAGATCATACTTCCGCATATTTGTATCCCTGCTCACGGACAGATATATCGAGCCCAATGCATTGTGGGAGTTTAAGTTTTCCATATTTTTTGGGGGGCAAAAAGGAAAGCCTTTTCTCAAGTTATGTAGCACCAGTTTTTTTTTAAGCCCATTTTTTTAAAGCCCATCTTGCCCATCAGTGGTGAATCACCCCTTTATGATTCTGTACCTTATAGTTAAAGGGATAGTTCACCCAAAAATGAAAATTAGTCCATGATTTACTCACCCTGAAGCCATCCTAGGTGTATATGACATTCTTCCTTCAGACGAATACGGTTGGTACGGCCGTCTGCCCGAAGCTAGTTATTTTAGTCGATAAAGTTTTAAATTTGGTTATTTTTCTTACACGAACGCATCGCTTCACTTCAGAAGACCTTTATTAACCCCCGAAGAGCCGTTTCGAGCACTTTAATCATGTGAATAGATGCGCTTTACTGTACTTCCAAAGTCAAACAGCCATTCACTCTCATTATCAAGCTTGGAAGAGCCAGGACATTTTTTAATATAACTCCGATTGTATTCGTCTGAAAGAAGAATGTCATATACACCTAGGATGGCTTCAGGGTGAGTAAATCATGGGCTAATTTTCATTTTTGGGTGAACTATCCCTTTAAGTGTTAATATGATTTATTGACGCTTTGCATTCACACTAAGAACATTAGCAGATGTTTTTTATCTAGAGGAACCTACAAAATGTCCTTCAGCTTTACATGAAAGACTGCCATAGTCATTTTGTCAATCTCTCTATCCTTCCAGCTGGTTGAAGCTTTGAAAGAACAAGAGGAGATCAACTACCGTTTAAGGCAGTACATGGACAAGATCATCCTGGCTATCCTCGACCACAACCCCTCCATTTTAGAGATCAAGCAGTAGGGATCTGAGCTGAGAGCAGGTAGAGGACTCAAACTTGGCAGAGAGCTCCCCCTTCAGGCCGGGGGTTTGAAATGCACCTTTGCCCCTTACACCAAGTCATCATGTATTACAGAGCAAATTGCTTTCGAAAAAATCGTGTCTCTCATGTGCTCTGCCTCACACACACGAGTTACAGTTTCCATTTCCATGCTATGAGTTTAGGCCGTAAAAATGACACAAACAAGTGATGAAACTGGAATATAGAGTAGAAGTGTACTTTTCACTCTCAGTTATATATACACACTACCTCTGAGTATGTACAACTCAGTGTTGTATTCTAAACATGAACAAAACAAGTAGAATTATGATAAATATCACATGATCACACCATATAGGAGAGCTATACATGCACCCTATGGCATGTGGGGTTTATTATTATTATTATTTGAACATTTTAATCAGCCCTCTAGATTTTCTCTATAAAGTACTGTTTGCCTATGAATTTTAACAATCCAGCGCCGAATCAACGGACAGAGCAATAGAAAGACATGACTGTATAATAACAATAATCTGCAGATAAGGGAACTTCTTTTGAATGTTCTCTGCCCACATAAATTGTGGTCTGCTGTGAAAATAATAAAATCATGTCAGTCCATTCTAAGATAAAATACACTGCTGTTAGTGTTAATGGCTGATGCTTTCAGTTCTTAAATAATCATACAGCTTGTAACGGGACTGTGCTGAACATCCTTTGACTGTAGTAGAGAAGCACAAGTGAACGGTGTGAGTACTGATGACACAGTTGTACAATATAGTATATATGTGTAGAAAGAAAAATCTATAGAAAATGTGAAAAAGAAAGGTTTATTTTTCTTAGAAGTCTGTTTGAATGAAAGGATGGTCCATTGAAGTTTCAAGGAAGAGGTGGATGTAGTACATAATGAGTGAGAAGTAAATGATTATGATATAATAAAATTGTATAGTTTTACCAAGAAAACAAAAAAAGCCCCACAAAATTACGGCCAATGTAGTTAAAACATTAATATCATGGTAAATGTCTCTATTAGAACAATTTATGGTCTAAATATAAAATATATGCAAAATCAAATATATATACACTACCGTTCAAAAGTTGGGGATCAGTAATTTTTTTTTTAATGGAACTAAATCTAAATCTAGATGTATTAAATTGATCAAAAGTGACAGTTAAGACACTTATAATGTTACAAAAGATTTCTATTTTTGAAACAAATGCTGTTCTTTGGACTATCTATTCATCAAACAATACTGCAAAGCAGCACAACTGTTTTCAACATTGATAATGAGAAATGTTTATTGAGCATCAGATCATCATGATGATTTCTGAAGGATCATGTGACACTGGAGTAATGATGCAGAAGAATAAATTACATTTAAAACTGAAAACTATATTATTTCATAATGTTTTTATTGTATTTTTGATCAACGAAATGGTGTGAGCATAACCGTTTTCTTTCAAAAACATAAAAAAATCTTACTGACCCCATTATTTTACTGTTTTGTCTTGATCACATGACAGTAATATATTGATAATGTACATGAGTGAAGCGGCACATTTAATAAAAGTGCTTGAACTGTGCATCTCATGAATGGATCACCATGCCACTCACAGTATTCTGTATTCCCATATTCCCATTTTACAGATTTAGCTAGTCAAATGCTATGTGAATCACTGTATTTTAAAGGAGCCAATACTGCTACATGCTCGATTGTCACAAACAAGTTTTGCTTTGTTGCACAAATTGTACTGAATCTGTTTCTTTGCATGGTCTTAATCTCTTTTTGTTTGTGCCCTTTATTTGGAATGTAACAATTAATGTTTCGGTTGTTTCAATAACTCTTAATCTGATCAGTTATAGAGGAGCTTTTATATCTTTCTGTTCTACTTGTTCTGTAGCATTTTTTCACTCATTGTAAATGTTGTACAGAGAATAGTTAATATTTGTATTGATGTGCCACTCATTAACCTTAATGAATAAAAGAAAGGCTGTCTTTTATACAGTTTTATGACAAAATGGCAAGGTAGACGTGCGACCAAGTAATGTATAAATCATTTGCAACTGTTGAAATGAAGTGACATCACACCTTACTAATATCCTTACATCACACCTTACTGATGTGTACAAAACTCGTTCTTCATTATCAAGCTAAAGAAAGGAAATTTGAATTCTTCTGAAGAAACACCCATATTAAAACCCTTATGTTTCATATAATTTCCGTTTAACACTTGAATGACCAAACCCTGACCCATTCCCAGCAACAATGTCATTTTTGCACATTTTGAAGAGTCGTGCTGTGTCCGTGTCCACTGTTACAGGTTAGACGTAACACAGTTTGACATTTTTCTGTGGGTCATGGTTTACGCAACCTTTTTGGTGTTTACGCCTTTTTTGTTGTTATAGAAAAGATAGACCTTTCTTTTGTCCAGTGTGTGGGTATATAACTAGATTTACTATTACTCATATATATTTACACAAGTAGGAAAGGACAAATTAAAAAAGCTTTCAGAAAATTAAATAATAGTTTAAAGGCCTCAAGAGTTATGACAAATTTGAAATGTACAATAAATGACTTGTTTTGGCATGACTTGAAATGAAAAGAGTTTTGACTTTTTTGTCTTCTCCATCAGTCTTTAATGCATGAACAGGTCAATTTTAATCTGGAAATATTACTTTGCCTTCTTAGCTAGAACAAAATGTAACTTTGTCTTCATCTAGTGGACTCAGGCTGCGATATATAGCAAGTGATTACAGCAGGCCAGTAATTGATGACACCATCTGAGAACAGGATGGATTTGTGTCACCTCTTTAAAGTGATCATCTGAAATCCTTGCAAATTATTTGTTTTATAACCCCCCCCCCCCCATCATCTTCAAGTGTCACTTATTCCGCCTATGTGATCTTTAATTTTTTTTTTTTTTTTTTTACCTTAGTTAATAAAACTTTGCAGTACCTCAATACATGTTGTGGGTGGGGTCTAGGTGGGTAGAAAAAAATTGATTTCCAACTGACCACGATACCATGGTTTTTTTTGGGGTTTTTTTTTTTTGCCGAAATGCTACTGATATGATTTAAATGCAGCATTCCTAAAATGAGTGAATATGTAGTTCAGTTCAAGTGGTTAAGTTACACACTGGCTGTTCTCATCTGCGGATCTTACAGCTTTCTTTCATAATGCAGGTGTTTTCAATAGGAGATTTCAAGAAATGTAACCAAAATATTATTGATTGGAGGACTACCATCTGTATTATGACATCAAGTTATTTGCAATTTACAGTATGTTGCGTTTTGTGAAATTAGTTTACACTAGCATTCTTCAACTTTCTCTTGAACAAGCCACCAGGGGGTGTTATGGAGTTTTGTAAACATTTTAACCTACTAATAAAGTGAAACCAATGAACTTTTTCTGTTTCTATGACTGAAACTGAGAAATATTCCCAACAAAACAACTAATCAACAAGCAAAGATTATTATCTCCAGCTATATTTGTCTTTTAATTTTCTTTCTTTCTTGCCAATGCTGTTTTTCAACAGCTTTATTTACATATTTTCATGCCACTGTCCTATCATGGCCCTTTAATTTGAACAGATAACAGTCACATGACGTATATGTGTGCACAAGTCTCATGATAACTACACTTTCCTGGCATAAAGTGTTTGTATTCAAGCAACAATCATTCTTCACATTGCTGAGGCTCTGATAAGCCAGTCACCTCCCGCACAATTCTTATTAGACACATCCACCAAGAATGTGCTCTTCAAAAATGACTTACATGTGTTTTATCACAGCTGTCCAAACAAAAAGTCTCCCAGACCCTCTCCTGAATTCAGGAAAGGCCTCTTTGTCTCAGGTTTTGGGGTTTTTAAAGGGATATATTTAGAAATAGGTCTATCTATATATCCATCTATCCATCCATCTATCTATCTATGACTGAATTTAATATTCAACAAGAAAAAAAAAAAACCTAGTAGGTTTTCATCCTTATCCTTAAAGAATTGTTCGGATCTTTCCTACCAAAATGGATCCAAACCAAGCGAAGTTTGAAAAAATAGCTATTTGCCTGTTATTCAAAGTTAGCCTGTGTGGTCCAAGTAACATCAGAAAAGGGACTCTTTGTTTTATTATTAAGGACTGTAAAATAATTTTTCTTTGCAAGAACATGCAATGATGAAATGTTCCTAATGAGACCAGGAACATGCTTTAAAGGGTTAGTTCACCCAATAATGAAAAATCAAGCGTATAGCGTCAGTTCTGGCAGGTCGAGTTAGTCAAGCTCGCATCAGCGGACTCTCAGCTGATCCACGTCTATAGGAATAAGACGGCTATCACTGTATACATATATAAGCTCCTTCAGTATTATTAGCAGCTATCACGTTTCTCAGGAGCTCATTACCCTCCTCCATCCACAGCTCCTCCTCTCGCCCAGTCAGGATTTGGCATTCTGATTCCCCTTTGAATCAGACTAAATTCTCGAATTATGTTGTACATTAAAATCTTGAATTAATGAAATCTGCAATACATTCATGTTGGTTCTGTTCTGTTTACCCTAAGGGGGGGTTATTGCTCCTCTACCTGCTTTTATCCATGCTAGGCTGCATGGATGCGCAGGGAGTTCTCGCCCAGAACAGACCCATACCACCAATCCAAACTGTATGCTAATTGTCAATTGTATTTGACTAAAGTGGTCCTGACAGAATTAAGACTTTTGTTCATCTTCGGAACACAAATGAAGATCTTTTTGGTGAAATCTGAGAGCTTTCTGTCCCTCCATTGACAGTCTACGTAATTAATTACAGAATTTTAATTTTTGGGTAAACTATCCATTTAAAGGGATACTCCACTTTTTTTGGAAATAGGCTCATTTTACAACTCCCCCAGAGTTAAACTGTTGAGTTTTACCGTTTTTGAATCCATTCAGCCGATCTCCAGTTCTGGCGGTACCACTTTTAGCATAGCTTAGCATACATCATTGAAGTGGACAAGACCATTAGCATTTCTAAAAAAAAATGACCAAAGAGTTTCGATATTTTTCCTATTTAAAACTTGACTCTTCTGTAGTTACATCGTGCACTAAGACCGACGGATGAGAGCAGCAGGCGTAATGATATGACGCAGCGCCTGAAAATAGTTCCGTTGTGTTGACGGAAGGTGGCCTATTTTCAGGCGCTGCGTCATATCATTACGCCTGCTGCTCTCATGGTACGGCAGTAAAGTTTCTTGATTATTACGCAGGAATGAGAGTATAGTTCCTAGCCATATCAGCCTAGAAAATCGCAACTTTACATTTTCCGTCTGTCTTAGTGCACGATGTAACTACAGTAGAGTCAAGTTTTAAATAGGAAAAATATCGAAACTCTTTGGTCATTTTTTTTTAGAAATGCTAATGGTCTTGTCCACTTCAATGATGTATGTTAAGCTATGCTAAAAGTGGTACCGCCAGAACCGGAGATCGGCTGAATGGATTCAAAAACGGTAAAACTCAACAGTTTAACTCTGGGGGAGTTGTAAAATGAGCCTATTTCCAAAAAAGTGGAGTATCCCTTTAAGGAAATAAATAGAGGGCTAATAGCTTAAAGTCAGCTTCAAAATGGACCCTATGGTTTAAATGACCTGTCGATGTTGCTGTAGCCCACAGCTGTTTCACTCCCACACCAGACCTTAGAGTCTCTACTCTCCTGTCATGGTTTGTGCTACATTACCTCTCTGCTAGGGGAATGTAGCGCTTTATTTGGGCCAGGCGCGGCTGCTCCTCATGATTGAGCACTGCAAGGTGTGAATGACCTCCTTCTCACAAGAGCAGGGAGGACGTAAGTGAGGAACCCAAAGTATGGGGTCTGTCCCACTTACACACTTTTCTCAGCAGATCTCCTTTTTGGATCGGGCGTCTTGGACCAGAGACTCCAAATCACAGCTGAGAATGACTTTTTAGTGTGATATATAGATGAGCACCTGATCTAACACTCATAAAGCCTGTTATGGAACATTCATTATTTGATCAGATCTGGAAACTAGGAAACTCATCCAAGATCAGATTTAGTCTGATTTTTTCTATATGGTTTCCAATGCAAGTTTCTGACTTGATAAATCGTCACCTTGGATTGAAATAGTAGTTTAGAAAGTATAGAAATGATAAGGTTCTATCTGATATTTTTGTCCAAATGCAGTTATTCACATATTCTTATTCTATGACAACTTATTTACATTAT